GGCGGGCAGGTGTCTGACATTGTCGTGCAATTCATGACCCGGCGCAACGGCGGCATCTACGAGCCCGAGTTTCGTCTGGTGATGGCGCTGCCGGTGGCATTGTCGACCGCGGCGGGCCTGATGGGATTCGGCTGGAGTGCGCAGGAAAGAGATGCGTGGATTGTGCCGACGATTTTCTTTGGGTTGATCTCGTTTGGATGTTCGCTAGGCAGCACGACATCAATTACTTTTTGCGTCGACAGCTACCGGCAGTATGCGGGGGAGGCGTTGACAACGTTGAACTTTAGCAAGAGTACGCTTCCTGTCTTCATTCCTTCTTTTTTTTTTCTCTTCATTTCTAACAGATCTGTGACACAGACATCTTCCACGGGCTAGTCTTTTCCCTCTTCTTCGTCGACTGGCTCGAGTCTGACGGGGCGCGGACCGTCTTCCTGGCAGTGGGCGGCATCCAACTAGCATGTCTGCTGACAGCGATACCGATGTATATTTTTGGCAAACGGGCGCGCATGTGGACCGTGCGGAAGAACCTGATGGAGAAGTTTTAAAACATTTACAGCATTTTCATATATTTTGGTTTCTGTATGTCATGCATTTACGACTTGGTTCGACTTGATTTTTGGCAATTGTTTTTGGCATTACATTACGTCAATGGCTTTGATGATTGTCTTGCGTTGATGTCGATGATGGAGATGTGACATGCGCATGTTTCGGATGAATTGCAGAATCAATTCCATTTTATATGCATGATCTATGTTTATAGCATGAATACACGAGAGTGCTCGGTTCATGATGAACGGTATGCATCTGGATGAGTTGAACATGTTCCAGTACAACGACCTGTCTAGACAATGATACAATGATGCATGACATGACATCATAGCTCTCGTTATCTAGTGATCTATCTATCTAATCGAGATCACGGAATGAAAGGGAAGTGGATCGAAAGGCTACAGGAGTCTCAAGCAGAACGATTGAGTCTGCAATGCAGTGAGACAGGCAGATGTAATTAGTGTTGATTCGACTTGGACTTTTCTTGTCCGTCGCTCAATCCACTCAAGCTTGGTTTCTATCCGTACGAATGTGCCTGTTTGGGCGGTTTGATTGATGACGATCACATGACTTTGAAAGTCAGTGCAGGTGCAGCCCTTAGACTAATCAAGCATAGCCCGACATTCCGCCTCCACTATCCCTAATCAGGATCAGTGCTGAGTCAGCAGACAGAAGCAGTAGGCGGTGAGTATTCAGAGTATATCCAATGTCACCTGGGACTGCTGAACGAGGTAAGGCGTCAGTCACATCACATCATTCCTGGATCCCGTCTGTTGATTCAATAATACTCCGTATTCATTCCTGGATCTGGGCTCTGTGGCCCAGTCTTCTGGAACTGGATTCCAATTTCCAATTGCAAGGCAGGACTAGAAACATGGAAATTATTATTGTTATTATCAGTAATATTGGTTAATATTACATCAGGGTGACCCGTGGCGTCCTGTCCTGGTTTCAGATGTATTGGCGGCTTTCCCCACTTGCTATAATCTTCTTGTTCTCGTTCCAAGGTTCCACTGGAATTTCAAATTCCAATTTCCATGATTATTACCTGTTATTAAATTTCCAGGCCAGGTCCAGGATACGGAGTAGGTATTTATATGAGGAACCGTTAATACTTGGATTGGTAAACAGTCCCGAGATCACGTTTCACGTTTCATGTTTCACATTCCTGTTCTAGGTACGGTTGGAGATCTTCGTGCTGCGGCAGGGGTGATATGATGCAGGGTATGGTAATAATAATTAGGATGATGCTGAGGACTGGTCGAAAGTGAGATTTTTTTTTGTTCTTCTTTGCTCTTCTGACTGATTTATTGATTTATTGATTGATTGACGGATTTGTTGTTTTTCGGTCTTTCTCGATGATCTTCATGAATATATACTTCCTTCAGATCCTTATGCTCTTCCTAGCTTTGAATTGAAGTAGATCACCTAGAATATAATATAATATATCTCATCATCTTCGTCTACATATTTTGTCTACTTGTTGTCAACCTTCTCAAGGACGAACAGTCTTATCTTTTTCTTTTTCTTTTTTCTGGGTTGCATTGGGCCTTGAATCAATACATTGCTTATTGTCCCTTCCTGGTTGTGCACAATTCTCAATGACATGCTGGATAGCTTTATCAAGTAGAAATTTCGTAATTGGGTGGGAGCAACCCAATCTTAATCCTCAGCCATGTTACTTATATATGAAACTCATTCATTAGCAGGTACAAACAGTCTATAAACTTGAGATAGGACATAAAAAAATTATATATACCCCTGAGTAGAAATTCCACTCTGTCTGCAGACTCGATGCTTCTTCCGTCATCGTTCCCTCTAAGGGGCACCTGGTGTATTCTCGAGAAACCGTCAACTAGGCTATGATGGCATCAAAGTACTAGATAGAATAGCAGCAATCTCCCATATAGCAGCATGACGACATACCTGCAAGGTAAAGCCCTGGCCACTCGGCTGGGACTTAAAAAGCCAGGAGCCAATGCTCCACCTCTAGACGGGGGCTTGGCTAAGTGCAAGTCTATTTATATATAGTATCAGCTAGACAATGCCTATTTATGACAATGCCAATTTATTTACTGCTAAGAGCAGCATTATTGTAATTGAAATCCGTTTTATTTCTCCTTTATAATCTACTCCCTGACTTTAAATAGCGGACGCGCTAGTCCGTCTCGGCTTCGCTGGGTTACCATCCTTTTCTCTGCTCTGCACCAACCCCACCTGTGTCGAACGTGCCACGGTTGGCTTTTCAGTTCATTATTTTCACTGACGTTATTCTCTGATCTGTGTGATGAATTATCTTCTGGTGTCTGCTGGTTTAAGTCCAACTAAGCTTCCTCCACTCCACCGATCGCGTTTAGTGCCTCTGATCCCGCGGTCTAGCCCCTTGACTCGACTGTCATCTTCCGGCCTCGTCGCCAGCCAACGGGAGCGCGGCGTGATGCCTCCGCTGCCCTTCTCGTTAGCATCTTGTCTCCGGCTCCAGCGTTCTTTGCATAGAACCTTCTCTGGCTCGCTTGGCGCTTCCAATTCCCAAGGCCTCTCTCCAGTCCTGCTCTCTCCTACTCCGTACACCGTTTAAACCCGAGCTGGCGGGCCCCACCGCTACTATCGTGAGAACGCGACCCTGGCCGTGGCGCTCGCTGTCTCTCTGCTCGCCGTTTCTCTCTCTCTCTCTTGAATTTTTCTGCCGCTGTGGCCCTTCTCCGGCTCTCAGGAATTGAGTCTGGTCCCTCTTTCTCTAATTGGCTGACTGTCTGCAGCCTCGTCCGGTCGTTTCGTCCTCCCCATCCGGTCTATCTTGGC